CCTACTATTCCTTTATTTATTCTTTTCATCTGGGAACATAGTATAATAGTTAAGAAAGATGAGTAAGGAGAGAACCCAAACCACCATGACCGATCACCAGACTTGATACCCTCGTCCGTCAATAAGCCACTCCTCTAAAATAAACCTTACTATTCCAAAGTCCTGTAAAGAAACCCTAAGTCATAGGCTAGAAAATCTTATAGAATACTCTCGAATCCCGTAAGATGCCCAAATAGAAAGCTCCTTACCACCCTTACTAAGTCCATATAATGTCTTTAGAAGAAACAAAGGGAGATTTTCCTGGAGCGTAAAAAACCCGATATCCACTCCTGCACCAGGAGTAAAAGAAATTATCCAAACCACAAAAATGGATAATTGTGCTCTCAATGCTACTTCGGCGAACAATGACGTAGATCTGGAGATAGAACCTTCTCTCATCAAACTCGGCAAAGAGAAGGATATGTGGCTCTTCATTTTGGAGCAGATCGACTAGTGCTTACCCTTCATGGGAGAAAAGGCTTACCGGTGACCGCTAGAGTCTCTCTAATAGACTCAACGTTCCAAAAATATGAACATGTCTGTTATTGGAACACGTCCTGACTACGTTAAATTCAGGAAGTGTGGTTTTAACCATGTTTCCTAACTTCGTGTACAACTAAAAGATCCAACTCTTCCAAAGAGATTTCGAGTACAAGTCCAGATTGTCGGAGCACCTCAGGATGAAAGTGCGATGGCAGCCTACTCTTCATCACCGGTTGATCTTCGGAATCCAAGATCATTGTTATGATCTTCCAACAGAATCGCCATTTGCGAGCATGCTCTAATGGTAATCTCAAACACAGAAGAACATACTCCTTCCATAATCCAAATTCCCGCATGCATTCCTAGAGAAGAACTCGAACAACTAATCCCAAGAGAGTGGATTAGTAATTATGAAAATTTCAAGAAGAATCGAGCCACCAATCATCAAGATGGATCATGCATTCAAAAGACTTCCGGATGGAACGGTGAAGACCATCTTTAAAAAGGAAAATGACGAAGGATCATCATCTTCAACGGTTTTCACAACTATGATGATTACTTTGGGAGATAAAGAAAGAAAGATTCCTGTACATTCCTTCGGACCGGATGGAAAACCCATTTATTCCGATAAAATAAATGGACACTTTATGTGGGATGTAAATCCGGATACGTGTGATCCAGGATGCCCTTGCACGTAAATATCCGATAACAGATGATGATGATGATGATGACGATGACGATGAAGCAGATGATGATGATGATGATGAAGATTTCCATAGTCCTCCTCCCGATCCCGATAAACCAAGAATGGTGATTTCTCGCCAACCACCGCCAATATACGAGAAAATCTTGAAGGCCTTGAAAGAAAACTATGAGCACTACTACCAAGAGAAAATGTCAAAAGCACCCCAACCAATACAAACCCAAAGTTGTATGATGTTGTCTTCGAAGAAGAATTCCCTAGTCCGAGACGAGCAAATCCTCAAGAAGAAACCGTAATGAAGCCTTTCATTTACAGTAAAGAAGTGACAGCAGAAGGATCCAAGAAACCTATCTCTCAGAGCGTAAGAAGTGCTAAATTGGCGGACAAAGAATGCTTTAGCCCAGTAATAGCCTACTACAAAAAATTGAAAGAAAAATGGATAGAATAGAATTGTCCATAGAAAAGGAGATTGGAGGCATGAATTCCAGGCTACAAAAGCATTATGCAGAATTGAAGGAGAAGATAGAAAGACTTGAAGAAGAGACAAGGAAAATTAAAGAAACAAGGAGATTCAACAACTCGCTCATCGAAAAAGAAAGAGAGTTACAAAAAACCAAGGAGCAAGTATGAAGAACTTGTCCACTATGTAGGAGAGAAAAAGAAGATTCCCATCTTCGAAGATGACCCTTACTATGTAAGGCCATCAAAGATATTTCCAACAATCTCTAGACAATCCCTTAAACCAACTCCACTCTTCCCTCCAAAGAACTCTCCACCAAAACACAGGGAATGGTTTAAAGAAAAAGAAAGAGAAAGAAACCGAAGAAAGAGAAACCTCTCCCGAACCTACACTCGAACCTTCTCCTAAAAAAGCAGAAATCTCTTCTGATGAAAAGATTTTCCAAGATGCCCAGGACCCTTATTCTCAATACACAATCCAAAACATCAGTTCTGATGATTCAATTCCTTCTTCTGATGAAGAATCAGTAGAATCCTTTGAAGAAAACACTGAAACAGAAGAAGCAGAAGTGAACCATACTTTTATGGCAAATGATACAGAGCAGCCTTTTGCTGAAAGAACGAGACTACATAATCAAGAAGTCAACACTCCACATCCAACCAACAACATGTTATTCACAATTGATAACATTCCCCATCCCAATGGAGGAAAAAGTTCCTAGACTTCAAAGCTTGGTTAGATACTAAAATGGTGAACCCAGGAGCGGACAGATACAAAATTATAGAAGAATTTCGTGCGTGCATGACGAGAATTCTGAAAGAATGGTATATCACCCTGGGAACAGTCAATCAAGAGAGTCTTCATAATTCTACTATTGAAGAAGTCATTGGAGCATTACAATTTCATTTCTTGGGGAATGCAACATTGCTGGATCAAGAGTCCAGAAGAGAATTCTTTGAAATGAAGTGTTGTTCTTTGGAAAAGAAAGATCTTGACAGACATTATCTGAGAATGAGTCAAAGGTTTTATCAGCTCAATGGAGTCAATGATCCCAGTCTCAAAAACACTTTTGTAAGTTCACTTCCAGAAGAATTACAAGATGAAATGTGGAGGATACTCCAACAGACAAATAAAGAAATCTTGCAGATGACTATGGGAGAAATTTACCATACTTGCATTGCTGCAAAAGAAAAGTTATGCAGTCAACAAAAAATGTTCAGCAAAATGGCATCAGACCAGAAGAAATACAAGAAAACTTGCAAGAAAAAATATCTGCAAATCCAGTGCAAAGAAGATGGTTGTTATTGCAAAAACAAAAAATCAAAAAGAATTCCTCCCAAAGCCAAATTCAAGTTGAAGAAAGGAAAGAAATACAGGTTCTTCAAAAACAAACCATTCAGAGGAAAAGGAAACAATCTAAGATGTCATATCTGCAAACAGAAAGGACACTTTGCAAGAAATTGTCCAAATAAAAGAGAGAAATCTGCAAAGCTGATAGAACTCTTCCTAACCCAGGAAGAAGATGATCTAGAATCATTATATGAAGAGCAAACAGAACCAGATAACCAGACAATTTTTGCTATTGCTGATACAGAAGAAAGTTCAGAAGAATCTAGCAGTGAAGAACACTTTCCTGTGTTAAAGATTCAAGAGGTTAATACCACAGAAACCGAGGTTCCTTCTCTTCCCAATACAGAAATATCTATTTTTCCATCCAAGTATGATGTTCCAATTAAAGCTATAGGATTTATTGATACTGGTTCAACAAAAACAATGATGAATCCAATAATCCTTCCAGCTAAACTATGGACAAATGATATCCATAAGTTTAGAGCAGCAAATGGAGAAGTATTCCAGACATCCTTGATGACCAAACAAAAGATAGGAATTCAATTTTTCCCTGGCTGTACAGTCTGGATAAAGGTAATTGGAAGTGATAAACATGGAAAGGATGTTCTGATAGGAAGGGATGTTCTCATTCAAATTCGGAAGCTGCAGATATTGTCTGATGGTATCAAATTCAAAAGATTGACGAAACCTTTTGTGCCAGTTTCAAATTTATTCACATTAGCAGATGTTCCTCCTGGATATGAAGAAATCAAAACCAAGTTACTCAAATTATGTGCAGAAAGCCATAATCTTTTCTCTCATCCAAATCCTTTGTGGAAACGTGAAGAGTTCTTTGTTACTCTCCCTTTCAAGAAGAGTGAAGATATCAATCCAACAAAAGCAAGCCATCCAGGAATGAGTCCATCCGATTACAAAGCAGCCCAAGAAGAATGTCAACAACTATTAAAACAAGGTCTCATTGAGCCTACCAAATCAGATTGGGCCTGTCCAGCCTTTTATGTCAACAAAAGGTCAGAACAAATTCGACAAAAGAAGAGACTTGTTATTGATTATAGATCATTAAACCTTTTCATCAAAGATGACAAGTTTCCATTACCCAAGATCTATTCTCTTCACTCTTACATCAAAGATGCCTATTTCTTCTCAAAGTTTGACTTAAAATCAGGCTTTTGGCAATTGGGCCTTGACCCCAAAGACAGACCCAAAACAGCTTTCAGTATTCCAAATGCCCATTTCCAATGGACTGTACTTCCTTTTGGATTAAAAGTAGCTCCATCTCTTTTCCAAAAAGCCATGGTTCGAATTTTTGAACCCATCCTTCACAGTGCTCTAATCTACATTGATGACATTCTGATATTCTCCTACACAGAAGCGGATCACAAACTTTTGCTTCAAGAATTCCATGATCTTTGTTACAAATACGGAGTGATGCTCTCAGCAAAGAAATCTGAGGTTGGAGTCAAAGAAATAGATTTCCTTGGAATGCATTTCTTTCACGGAAGATATGTCCCACAACCACACATAGTGGAAAACTTGCCAAAATTCCCAGATGAGAATATGACATCAAAAGAAATCCAACAATTCCTAGGAATTCTGAACTATGTGAGAAACTTCATTCCAAATATAGCAGTCTACACCTCCAAACTTTCAAAAATGTTGAAGAAGAATCCTCCTCCATGGAGAACAGAACAAACAGAAGCAGTCAAAATTCTGAAAAGGATTGCTCAAGATCCACCACCATTAAAAATTCCTGGAGAAGGAAAAAGAATATTACAAACAGATGCTAGTGACCATTTTTGGAGTGCTGTATTGATTGAAGAAATTGAAAACAAGAAATTCTACTGTGGACATGCCAGCGGAGCATTCAAAGAAACAGAAATACACTATCACACGAGTGTTCAAAGAAACTCGCGAGTCAAATATGGAATTCAAAAATTTGATTTCCATCTCGGAGGACATCAATTCGAAATTCATTTAGACAACTCGCATTTCCTAAGATGCTTGATTTCAAAAACGAGTACCACCAAACCCTCGGATACTCCGCCTAAAAGAATGGTTTTCCCGATATGATTTCACAGTCAAACACATAAAAGGAAATACCAACATTGTCCCTGATTATTTGAGTCGACCAAAGCCTTCACCAATCCATATCATTTCTTCAACCAATTCCTACCCACTTATTCTCATGCAAAACCCACCTTCCTCTTCTAACCCTTATCCACAAAATCCATTTCCACCCGAGATAAGGTTTGATTTCATAAAAACTCCTGCAACCTTGCAACAGCTTGCTAGACAAAATATGTTTTCATATCTAGCAAGGTCTTTACAAAACCACCAGATATCTCCAAAACAAAATTGGTTCAACCCAGATACTCCTTTTCTGAATATCTTTGCTATTCTTATGGGAGAAGAATTCACAGAAGAAGATCAATGGTACTTATGGTGTGTCTCAATCCTCGCATCATTATCCAATTATCTTCCCAACAAAAAAGATGTTAAAGATGCTCGAAAGAAGATTGTTCGAGTTTATTAATTAAGTTTTTAAGCTGGTATCAACCAATTTCTCTCGTGGATAAACGCCATCAATGAAGAGCTAACCAGGACACAAATGACAGAGTTGGAACTCAGAATACTTCATCACAGTTGCTATAATTCACAGGCCATATTTTGCACATCCAGAATCACATGAACTATGGACGCAAAATCAAGTCAGAATTTGGTCAACATTTCCAAGGTTAAAGATTTTTACTCAACAGGATCAACCTTCGTTCTATCAAAGTGAGTTAATCATAGAACTGCACAGACTTAATGGAACATTTTCGGAGATGATCAACAAAAATTCCACGTGTTCACATCTGAAGCCCTTAGATATAATCTGCAAGCCAGATGGAGACTCTGGACCTTTCCATGATCAAGAAGAAAGGGTGATGCCACTTGTCAATATCCAAGGAAGTAAACAAATTCACATGGAATCGGCAAATATTGAAGGACAAATTATCATGATGAAAGAAGATAATGATGAAGACTTAATGATGGACACGGAAGACTCTGACTCAGATGATCCAAATCTGTCACCAAGTCATGAACCCATTTTCAAATGATGTGATATAAAGATATTCGGTGTGAAGAAGACCCATGTGATATATTCGATGTGAGAAGACCCATGAGACATAAAGTTATCGACAAGATATGGTAGATGTGCTGTAAAACGTGACATAAAGATACCGATAAGATATGATAAGTGTGTTATGTGACATAAAGGTGCCGACAAGATAAAGTTGGACCAGATATGTATAATTGATGTAAATTATTTATGTTTGTCCGTATATGCCTTCTTTTGGCTATAAAAGAGAAGGTATCCCTCCTTTGTAAGATATCCGAAAAACCCAGAAATAAAACTTGAGTGTTTCCCTCACCTATGAGTTTCTAAGTTCTTAGTTTTCTCTCCTGAAAGTCTTTATTTTCTATTATGCTATTGTTCCTCTAACTCGATGAAGATATATTGGCTGGAAAAGTGGAGAACCTCTGTTGGTTTCATACCTAATTACAGAGCGAGGCCTTCATGCCTATTCTCTGCAGACTCCCTTCACAGGGATAAGTCGCAACAACGCCACGTATCTATCTCAGGTGAGATAAAGAATAAAGGAATAGTAAAATCTAGCATAGATAAGTATGCTCTGTACTTGCCTCATATGAGGATCCTGTACATCAGAAAGTTTATACTCTTCTTTTCATCACTCTTTTGAAACTGATTTTTTGTGTTGTTGTTGGTTACTGATATCTTGGATCAGTGAATCATGAGATTATGTAAAGACCCGTTTCTTCTGATTATGGCTTTCCTTCAGCCATTGTTTTTTTTTTTTTTAATTTTGGTTAAACGGACTTTCTTCAAAGTGGACTTCTTTTCGGTACTCTATGCAATCCACCAATATTAATATTAATATCTGAACTCTAAGCTGAATCAAAGTTTAGTTGGTGTTTTTCTAAAAGGTTGAGAGGGTTTTAGTATTTTCAGCAGATACTGTGATATAGTTTCATTGGATGTGATCCGCCATGCAGGAAATATTTCAAATTTTGTCCCATAAAAGTTCAAATCTATTGATGCAGGTATTTGAAAAATAGTTTTGGTTTGAAGCTCCAATCATTAACAGCTTTACTGTGTTTGGCAAATGGGTTCTGAAGGTCCTACAACACCCATAACAACAGTTCATCTGACAGGATTTAAGAAATTTCATGGAGTTGCTGAGAATCCGACCGAAACAATTGTCAATAATTTGACAGAGTACATGAATGAAAAGGGTTTGCCAAATGGTTTGGTTATTGAGAGCTGCAGCATTCTTGAAACTGCTGGTGAAGGAGCACTTGAGACACTGTACCAGAGATTACAATCGACCCTTCTTGCCAAGGACACTGAATCTTGAAATTTCCAATAAAACTATTTGGGTAAGTTCTCCTGTATTTGACATGTAGCTTCACTGTTTGTTGTCATAGCTAGCATGACAATGGGGGCGGTGGTGGCGTCTTTTGTCTCCCATTCCTGATTCTTATCCAATTTAGAAATTAAGTGAGTTTTTCCATTTTTTCCTATTTATATTATTTTAAAATAATTATATTTATAATAAATTAATTTTATTATTTTTATATATTTTTTATATATAAATAAATATTTATAATTTTATAATAATTATTAATTAAATATATATTTTATATAAAATAAATATTTAATTATTTGTTTTTATATAAATATAAAATATTTATAATAATAATAATATTATTATTATAATATTATATTTAAATATTTATATTATTATTATTATTATTATTTGTACGTATATAATTAATTTATTTTTAAGTTATTATTTAAAAATATAAAATATATAATTTATAAAAAAATATTTAATAAATTAATTTTTATTTAATTAATTTGAAATAATAAAAATTTAAATATTAATTATTTTTAATCTTTTAAAATATAATTATTTTATTAAGATAAAATTTAATATATGATAAATAAAAATAATAAGATAAAAAAAATATGATATAATAAATTCTAATAAATATAAATTATAAATAAAATAATATTAATTATTAATAATTATGTAAAATATATTAAAGAAAAAGATAAAAAAAATTAATTTTATATTTATCAAATTGGTTATTGGTAAAAAGATTAAAGTTAAAAAAAAATAATTGAAAAAATTAAGAAAATATAAAAAACTGAAATATAAGAGAATAATAATAATATTATAATAAACTAATTTATATAAAAGATAAAAAACAAAAATAAGATAAAAAAATAAAAATAAAAAAATATAAAAAAATATCTTTTTATATAATAAAAAAATGAAATATTTTAAAATTTAAATTTAAATATAAAATCGAAATATGATGATTTTTTAAAATGAGAAAAATTCAAACCTGCTCTTTTCCTTAATCAATTCAATTTTTTCATATAACGTGGATCAATCGATCCCATGCATACGGGGTTCAATTGTGATCGCAGTAATATCTTTCGGTCTACAGTGCCGGTCGTTTATGCAATTAAGTCCTAATTTGTACGTCTCAATTAATTGCCCCACTGAATCTGGATAAGTAATAAAAAGACATAAAAATCATAGTATATATGGAAAACTTGTGAATATCTATCTGTATGCAGTAACGGCAGAGGAACAACCTAAGACTGATCTAATAATAACGTAAAATAAACAACATTGACAGATGGTAAAGTGGATAGATTCTTCGTCACTTCTATGGTGCTCTAGCAAAATCTGCTCATTATATACTTCATTTTGTGAAATAGCAATTCCTAGAGTATGATATATCACCAACTGATGTTCAGCTGTCTTGTTAACGATTTTTTGAGATTAAATCTCATTGGATTTGAACTTTAAAATTTTTTAGCACAAAGCTAGAATGAAACTTTGGATTAGACTTTCATTTTTGGTATTTCAACACATTTAATTCAAAAACAAAAATATATATCATGAATAAAGCTTGAGCATCTAAAAATCTTGTTGACTGGTGGTTTGCCTTTGCTTAGACTTGGATACATCATTATCAATTTGAATATATTGTTCTTTCTTCATCCTGACTGTTTCTGATTTTTGTTTATTTCAGTTGCATTTTGGGGTTAACAGCGGTGCAGCATGTTTTGCTATAGAGAACCAAGCAGTCAATGAGGCTAATTTTCGTTGCTGTGATGAAATGGGTTGGAAGCCCCAGGTGAGATTGGAGTAATGGATTCATTTCAAATTTGCTTTCATCAACAAACATTTAGAAGTCCAAAGAACATCTTCACTGAAATTTGCATAACTTTGTGTTGCAGAAAGTCCCTATTGTTACTTCGGACGGTGGAATTTCACGAACAAGGGAGGTAAAATGGACCCTTATATCACATACACTTAACTCCTAAACTAGTTTTACTCTTGGACTTGATGTTTAGTCTTAACAGTGTAAAACATTGATTAATACTAACATTTTTTGGGTGTCATTTCTAGTATTTTAAGGTGCTATTAGTTTTGATGGCACAGAAGAAGCTGCTTATTACTAATCAGAATTCTACCTTACTTTGAGCAGACTTCACTTCCTGTTGAGGAAATCACCAAAGCCTTAGCAGAAAAGGGATATGAAGTAATGGCATCAGATGATGCAGGCAGGTTTGTTTGCAATTACGTTTACTATCACTCCCTTCCCTTCGCTTTGCCGAGCAAAATGGAATCAAATCCCTTTTCGTGCACGTGCCACTCTTCATCAAAATAAGTGAAGAGACTCAAATGAAATTCTGTGCTTCCTTGTTAGAGATGCTTGCCTCTATTCCTTAGAAGGAAGTATCATTACACTCTGACCCTAAAAAATGGGACCTCCTATATTTGTTCTGGTCTGAAAGTGGATGAATGTATCTTGAAAGGATGAGATATTTATAATAAAAATTATTGTACTTAAATGAAAACGGTTTATTGGAAACACATATGTAGTAAGGGAGATTTCCATCGCTAAATGTTTCAGATTAAAGGTTCCAGAACTTTGTGAAGACAGATTTATTGACATCTTCAAGGACTACCATGTCAATAATATTCAATATAAGTGAAAGAGATTCTTTTGTGTTATTATAAATTAAAATAAACTTATATTTAAAAATGACATTTTAAAGCTACTAAATAAAAATAATAACTTGATTTCCTTGCCATCCAAAAATAATGATTCTGCAAACTAAACTAAATGAAGGAGAAAAACATGAATTCACAATCCAAACCTATTAGAAAACAAATGGAAGAGTGATGCAAATAAGGAACTTCCGTTCATGCTTGAAGAATTTTCTTACCTTTTCTTCCATGGAATTATATGTTATGTGTGTATTGTAACAGGTAGAAATGTTTTGCGATACCTACTACTTTTTTCTATTAAATTTGACGGATTCAAACTTATGTTTGAAATTTTTTGTATTTTAAGTCTGTACAATTTTATGTAAGTCAAAATTAATTAATAATTAAAATAAATGTGGAATACAAGATAACATATTAACGTGTAATAAATTCACTTAAATTTAATTAGTGTGTACAATCATTAAAATTATTACATCGTTCAAAGGTTAAATTCGTATTTTACAGAAGAAAAAAAATAATCCTTTAGTATAAAATTCTCACAGTAAATTAATTTTCTCATGAAAATAGGTTAAGGAAAAAAAGGGGAGAGAGCAAAGACAAGCTGACATAATTGAAGAAAAAAAATGTTGAGTTAAAGAGTTAATCGCTCTTCTAAACTTGGTTGAGTATTCTAACTTTTTTTTTTTCCATAAACTGGTAGGTTGGTCTGTAGAAACAAAACAAAAAATAAAGGTTGTTTAACGAGTTAAGTTGATCAATCCACTAAAATACTTAAAAAAAAAAAAAATCAAACATCCATGCAAAAATCATCATCATCTGAACATTCTTTTTATAAAATATTTCAAGATATATTTAAAAATATAAAAATAGGTGTGAATGAATTTACCTATCAAACTCAACTACAACATGTTTTGTTGGTGAGACAGGTTAAAATTGTTTGGTGAATTGAAAATTATAACCTATCTATTTAACTAAGAGTTTATATTAGATTAAGTTTAATCTGTTTTGTTATTATTTATTTATTTATTTATTTATTTATTTATTTATTATATATATATATATATATATATATAATTATTGATCTCAATTTCTTTTCAATTTAAAAAAATTTAATTTTAAGTTTTAATATCTTCATAAGATTTAGGAGTTATTTATTAATTAATTATTGGTTCCATCCTTATCTAGTTGGTCAGGAGATGATCAATCTGTTCAATGAACTTGAAGAGACGGAGATAACATGATTTCAAAAATTTCACTCATAATTAAGAATTATTATTATAAATATCATGTTATGAAAATAATAATATTTAATATGTATAATTTCCAAGTCCGTTATACTCATTGACCTAATAAAAGAGATTTTAAGTTTAGGTCATGATAAATTTTTGCTTAAATTAAAATTCCTGTAATTTTTTGTTATACTTATAACAGTGTATATTAAATTATTTTTCTTACATTTTTCACTACTTTATCCCTAAATTGAGTAACTTATCCTCAACTACATTTTTCACAAACTGTTACGGCAACATTTTCTTCACCACCCTCTTTGACTTCACTTCTGCTCATAATAGGTGAACAAATGTAAGAACAAAGAATAACGATGTTGGGTAAATTATACGATTTTCAATTTTGGCTGATAATATTATATTACGCATTTTATTACTCGAATTTGTACATATAATATTTAGCTATCATATGTGAGAATAGTTATGTATTTATAAATAAATAATTTTATGTATTTAATTAAAATGACATCTTATTCAACAAGGGACATGGAACAAGTTTTCATCGATTCAAAACTTGGCAATGTAGCACACTTTTAGTTTAGTGGAGCACTTAATAAAGAAGATTAGTGTATACACTAATATGAATCGGGTGATTTAAGAAAAGAAAGTAGAAGGAAAGAATCATTTTTCCTAAGTGAGCCAAGACACAAAGGATGTGAAAGTCCTTTGATACAACCAATGATTTTTAAATCACTAAAGAATTTAGGAAAATCAACCCTAAACCCTAATATTTCTAAAAATAAAACTCAACTTAAAACAAAATCAAACTAAAGCTCATTAATTTATTAATTCAAAACATAATTTGGTCAACTAACAATATTTATTGAAAAATTTTCTTTATTTTTCTTTCTAACCATTATTAAAAGTCATGTTCACATCACACTCTTAATTAGGATGAGATAAATACATAAAATTTACATGCAAACAGAACATTGTGGTGGTTTCTCCGCATTTCTCCTTATAATGAGAGAAAAATTAACCTTGGACATTATTTTTCATCTTCAAAATCAAGTAATCCAAAATGGGACGTAGATGATCAATTGAAGCATTATAAAATGCATTAGTAGAGTTACACAAACTTTAGTGGTACAAGAATTGACACATGTTAATTTGTTGGTTTTATATATATACATATATATATATATACATATATATATATATATATATATATATATATATATATATATATATATATATATATATATATATATATATGTATGGTGGCTTCGTGGCCTCAATTAACCTCTAGTGCTCCATGATTATGTATTTCAGGTCAACCAATATAATTTACTTGTCTCAATACAATATTCACTATTCACAATCAAGTCATTTAATAATCTTTAATTACACTAATTTTTTATTTTATTTTTTCATACAGATGTCATTATACTTACTATATACTATTCCTTTTCATTTCATAAACTATGTTTTCTTGAATAAGAAATTATCTTCTTTTTTTTTATTTAACGGTCATTCATGATTTTATCATTTTTAATAAATTTTAACTTATAAATGAAATATATATTAAATGTGTTAAACGTAGTTGCACTCCTCTTATAAACACTCTGTACTATTTATTTTATGAATTTAGTGAATATAGCTGGATATTTCAAATATTTAAAAAATCAGCTTTAAAACCTTCATATTTAATCATCTTAATTATGTTTACGAACAATACACGGATTTTTATACTATTATTTCAAATATTACCAAATAAAATTATGCTTTTTTTAATTAATAATATTAAAAAATAAATAGATTTTTTTTATGTCAAAAATACTTTGATATTATAATTTTAAGATAATATAACATTAATGTGAAAGATGTACGCTCTCAATTAATTAAAAAGTATTCTAGATATACTTTTAAAATTGTTATAATAAAATTCTATAAATTCCAATGGTAAGACAATTCAAAATTATAACAGTGTAAAAACATTAAAAGGCAATTCTAGCCACGGTGAGTGCTAACAATTTTTAATTAATTAATATTTAATATATATATGTGCATTTTATAAGATAAATAATTATTTTTATATAACAGTAATTTATGATAGATGAATATATATAAATATATAAATTATACAGCTTATATTATAATAAAATAATGTTTTAAATATACATTAAGTTAGTAATAAGTAATTTACATTAATTAGTTGTGCCTGGTTTATTAACATAATATGGGCATACACGAAATGTTCATATTTTTCTTACATACATAATATCTAGTTTTAGTATTAAGTATCCTCTGTTTCATGGTTCTTATCTAACACCCAATTGTTGACAAATAAGTATTTAAACAAAACACTCTATATATTATCATTTGATGTATTTGTAATGAGGTCTTTGAATATGATTTCTCAACTACATGCATTTAATATAACTATTTCCTTTCAACTATTAGATGTTTATTATCAGGATTCAAACTCGGTACCTTAGAGTTGGAGGCTGAAACTCCAACTATCTGAGCTACTAGGAATTTTTAATAATAATTTACAAATAAATTATATTTATATACAAATAAATGTATATCCAGTATAAATATATAAATATAAAATCTATAAATAAAAATATATATTTTAATATATATTTAAATATTAATATATTTATACATTGATATATTTAAATATTGATATATTTATATATTGATATAATTATATATTGATATATTTATATTTTTACATATATTTATATATTTATATCTTTATATTTTTACATATATTTATATCTTTCCATATTTATATATTTATATATAAAGATATTAGTTTTGTATACAAATAATATTATAATATAGTATATTATACTATTAGTATAGTATACAAATAATATATTAGTATAGTATAGTATACAAATTATTAATTTTGTAATTTATATACTATGAAAATAATATAATGGTATATTAGTATAGTATATTTGTATTCTAATTTTTAATTAAACTAAAATTACGCTAATAATGTATAATAATATATGAGGGGATAATAAATTTAATCCAATTACTTTTATAAATATATAAATATAAAATCTATAAAATTTTAAAAATGATATTATATTTTTAAAAACAAATATTAGAAAAAGGTTTAAAAACATGTATAAATTATATTTATATGTCCAAAATATTAAAGATATCCACATTTAAAAAAATACTAAAAAATATTAAAAGTTATACTTTAAATTAATAAAAATATTTAAAAAAAGTTATATTTATTAAAGTATTAAAAAATATTTTGTAATATATAAGTTAAAAAAATTATCATTAAATTTTTTAAAAATTATTAGTTTTGTAATTTATATACAATGAAAATAATATAATGGTATATTAATATAGTATAGTATATTTGTATTCTAATTTTTAATTAAACTAAAATTACACTAATAATGTATAATAATATATGAGGGGATAATAAATTTAATCAAATTACATTTATATATATATATATATATATATAAATCTCTTTTTTAACTTTTTTTTTCTTTTTAAACTTCTCACATTCTACATTGTTTTTAAACTCTATCATTTTTACTATATTATCATCCTCATTTTCTCCCATATTCTATTTTATTTTATAATAATTAGTCTTCTTTTATAGAATACTTTATTTTCTATTTTTATTATTTATTTTCTTATAATTTAAAATAATTAATATTATTTTAACATTTATTTTTATGATTTTTACTATAATAAATCAAATTAAATGATTC